ATGAGGTGGATTGATTCAGTGACTGGGGTAATCGGGATGGGTGTGTCAGAGGCAATGAGATTGGTACGGGATAGAGCACGGTTTAGGGCTGTTGTACATAGGGTCGCTATGGGTCGCAAATGACTCGACAGCACATAACAACAACAACAACAACAACATGATCTAATTGCTAATAGTTGGAGTAAGATATGCTTCTAAAGAGCTATGTGTGGGTAGGTTGTCATTTCACAGTTGTTGTGCACAGTTGTCAAATTGGAACCAACCCACTGCTAACTCTGAGCAGGTTTTTAGAGGCACTAAATCGCATGGGAGTTGACTATCCATCTTTCTCCTATGGAACAACTGGTAGATTTGAACTGCATACCTTCATATTCACAGCACAATTCCTTACCACTAAGCCACCAGAGCTTTCAGTTCCATAGTAGAGACCTGTTAATGTTCAGGTATCCTTGGGGTAAAGTTCTTGGGTGTATAAGTGGCTAAGATGCTGAGCTGTTGACTGAAAGGAGAGAAGTTCAAATCCACTCACAATCATCTGAGAAGGCAAGCCTGGCCATCTCCTGGTGAAAAAGCAGTCACTGAAAAGCCTCTGGGGCACAGTTCTGCTTGGACACACATGGGTCATGTGCGTAGCAAATTACCCAATGGCAGCTTTGTGGTTTCAGTCTTAGACAACCCTCCCATTCAGTTCACACTCACACCTCACCTGAAAGTCAACACGGTGAGAGGTCGGTAGGACTTGTGGCTGGTGTTGCTGCTCAGTTTACTGCCCCAAAAGTCATGATGCCACAGGTCACCAAGGGGCGTTTCTGCTTGGAGATCCTGTAGGAATACAACACAAGACATTCTGGACAAAGGAACATGAGGGAGAGAGAGCCAAACCAGTCTGTGTTGCTGTTGTCAGTATGTACTATCGAGTCAAAACCAACTCACATTTGACGTCCCAGTGGGTTTTCAGAGGCTGTAAATCACATGGGAAGAGACAGCCCATCTTTCTCCTGAGGAGCAGCTGATGATGGATCCAACTGTGCACCTTTGGATTGGGAGCACAACCCCTTACCACTAAGCCACCAGAGCTCCTTTGCTCAATCCTTAGGAACACTATCTAGTCATTGTTGTGTTGTTGTCATGTACCACCAAGTCGGAACCAACTCACAACTGATCCTCCAGTGGGTTTTCAGAGGCAGTAATTGCCTATCCTTCTCCAGTGGAGCAGCTGATGAAAAGCTCGCCTTTGGAATTGCAGTGCAGCTTCGTACCACTGTTGTTATTGTTGCTGTTGTTATATGCCGCCGAGTCACTTGCGACTCACAGTGACCCTATGTACAACAGCCCTAAATCCTGCTCTATCCTGTGCCAATTGCACTGCCTCTGACACACCCATCCCGATTACCCCAGTCACTGAATCAATCCATCTCATAGAGGGTCTTCCCCTCTTGCGCTGTCCCTCCACCCTCCCAAGCATGATGTACCTCTCCAAGGACCTGTCCCATCTTACAAAATGTCCAAAATATGTCAGACGAAACCCCAGAATCCTCGCCTCCAAGGAGCAGCCTGATTTAACCCTCTCCAGGGTGAATCTGTTTGTTTTCTTGGCAGTTCAGGGTACATTCAATACTCTTCTCCAGCTCAAAGGCATCAATTCTCCTTCTATCCTCCTTGGTCATTGTCCAACTCTCTGATGCATAACAAGTGATTGCAAAGACCATAGCCTGTATCAGACACACCTTAGTCTCCAGAGTGACACCATTGCTCTTCAGTACCCTGGAGAGGTCCCTAACAGCAGACTTTCCCATCTTACCACTAGGCCAAGCCCTAACCCTCACCTCACATACTTGGGCATGTGTTAGGAGGGGCTGTTTCTTGGGCAGGACATCATGCTTAGAAGGTGGAAGGTGAGCAAAAGAGAAAAAGACCTTCAACAAAATGGACTGACAGAGTGACTATAACCATGGGCTCCAAGATGTCAGAGATGATGAGAAAGATTAATTCTTCATAGGGTCACTATGAGTTATAGCCAACTTGATGGCACTTCACAACAATGTCCTTTCAAAGAACTGTGCTGACACAAAGGCTCAACACATCACTATTAACTGAAAAGTCAGCATTTGCACCCACCAGAAGTTACATGGGAAGCTAGACCTGGTGATCTGTTCTCATAAATATAATCTACTGGTGGCCTACTGTCATGGAGCTGCACTGCAATCCCGAAGGCCACCAGCTGCTCTGCAGGAGAAGGATGGGCAATCTCCTCGTGTGCAATTAACTGCTTCAGAAAACTCACTGGAGGGTCAGCTATGGGTCAGTTCTGACTTGATGATACACAACAACAACAACAACAACTACCAGTGCTAAAAAGTCAATTCTCAACTGTTGTTGGTTTTCGAGGCTGTAAATCTTTACAGGATTGCTCATTTTATTCTGCTGAGCAGCTGCTGGATTCAAACTGCTAACCTTTCAGTTAGTAGCAAAATACCATGTGCTAGTCTACAAGCCTCTGGAAACGCTATGAACTGGGAGAAATGATGAAATTTATAGAAAGGCTTCAGGCCTTTTGTTCATAGGGTCACCATGAGTTGATGGTTCAGTCCTGGCCATCCTGGGGCCTTTCTACTCTGTCCTATAGGACTGTTATGAGAATCAGAGTAGACTTGATGGTACACAATGCCCTTTCAGGGACCCAGGGTGGACCCTCCACACTAGGGTTTTCCACTGGTTCTGGTGGGAAAGGGAGAAGGAATCTAAACTGGGCCACCATCCTTCCTGGACCTGTCTTCACAGGCTGTGGCACAAAAGAGGTGTCGTAGAAACATGTACAGACTGAGAGTTTGCAGCGTACAGTCTGTTGCAAGCTGTTCTTTCTCTCACTCCAAACACAGGTCCATCCATGTTTTCTTAAAATGAATTTCTTAAGTTTATGTTCACATTTATGTATTTTGTGTCCTTCTGGCTCAACATTAACACTGTAAATGTTTTTACCCACACAAGTCTCCATGTGATGGGAGAATCAAGAGTACTTCTACAGAAGTAAACATGCAAAAATATATATATATTTTTTTTTAATCTCAGTGGCGGTATTTTTTAACGATCCATAAATATTTCTTGCAATTTGGATTTGAACATTTTTCAGGGAGCGGGGGTGGAGGGAAGGGGAATTTCCATGAATATTCCTTTCCCTTGTATAAAGGGAGAATCAAGACAATAAATTATACTAGGGGAAGCAGAAAATCTTTGCCAGGAGAGTTACTTAACTATAAGTTGCAGACCATAAATCATGAAAAGAAAAATTAATTCAATCTGCAATAATAACAATGAATGCCCATAGTGTGATCTTTGGTAGATGTTGGTGGTTGTCTGAAAATGATTACCAGACCCTCTCCCCAACTTCTGTCTTGCAGAGATCTCTTCTTTCACAACAGATAACAGAAATGATAGTACTTTTTATCAAAGTCTTTTCATCAAAGGAAGCTCTGGTGACAGTATCTGTAAGGAGCTGGGCTGCCAAACCAAAGGCTGCACCTCTCTGGCAGTTCAAATCCCCCACAGACTCGGGGAGTGGGCCGGTAGATGAGTAATATCTTCTCATGTGATTTAAAGCCTCAGAAATACAAGGTCAGCTGAGTCAGCTCCAAATAAACTGCAGTAAGTTGAGTTTTCCCTTCTAATCATATAGGTTGTGATAGCTAAGGTTGTGTGTTAATTTGGCTATCTATGATTATCGGGTTTGACACTTATGATGGAGTCCCTTGAAGAGATCTAATAAAATAATTTCCTCTAAGAGATTTCACATAATGGAATTATCCCATGATCAGATCATCTATGAGCAGCCAATCATGTGCAAGAGACCTTCATCAAGGGTGTGGCCTATATCAAATGAATGTGGACATCTGGCAAAGCTCTCTTGCTTTCTGCTCAGTCTGGATCCTGTCTTTATTTGACATCCATGTTTTTGGACTTGAGTCAGGGACCTGCCCATATTGCCTGCCGATCTTGATCTTGGGCTTATCAGCCTGAGTCAGGAGAAGCCTCTAGTCTGTCATTTGATCTGCAAACTTTGAACTTTTCACAAGTGTGTGAGCCATTTCTTTGAGGTAAATATCTGCCTGTCTAAGCTTGGAAGGTTGTTCTCTTGAGAACCAACCTAAGACACAGATGAACTAATACTGTATATAGGATCTTGAGAGGTCTGCTGAGAAATTCTAGAAAATATTTTCTTCCATAATAGTAAGGGATGCACAAAGCATTTTTTTCCTTTCAATCGAGTACTATCCCTTCTGAGCATGATATCTAGAGCTGAGGCACTCATTCTGGGACTGTTATGTCTAGACCCATCTACTACAGGGGGTATGTCTGAGTGAAAATATGTTGTGTACTTTGATGTACACAACAGCCTCTGCCTTGGATGGCACTGCTGAGCTGAGGATCCAATTCAGGAACATCCTACCTGTGCATTTCCTATACCGTGAAAGAACACATTTCATCAATATTTAAACTATTTTTACTTTGTGATTATGTTCCTTCAAACAGTTAACTGATATATGAGTCAATGGGGTGGGGGGCAATGTATCTTAAGGATGTAAACCCTAGAAGTATAGGGGTCTGTTATAATTTTCATCATTATTTAATTACTGTAATTTTGCTACTCATAACACATATTTTTTAAATTTAATTTTTTTAAAAAATTATCTCCACTCTAGGTATCTCCACTCCATCTTCTTCCATAGCAGACCTGACATTGTGTCTAGCCCATTCTCTTCCCTATCAATCTAGGAGGCTATGGTAAAGCAGAACTTGTGCCTGAAGCATGGATAACCCAATTAGCATACTCTCGATTTTGTGCCATAGTGGCTGGTTCAAGATGGGCATGGAGCAAGTCAGGTCAAGCAGGACCAATGAAGATCAACTTCAGAACACCTGTCTGAACTAAGAAGTGAATAAATGTTTGCTGGTGATGAAGCGAGTGCTGTGAGATATAAGTGTGGATCTTCAGGGTGATCCCCAGAGAACCGAGAAAGAAGCCAACAGAGTGGAAGGCAGAGATAAGGGATCAGGGGCAGGGGGTCCTGACTTTGTCTGAGTCCTGAATCTACACATGTGATGTCAATCAGAATGACTTTCTGCAACCACCCAGAGCCCTTCACATTGCATGCTTTGTTTTCTAAATAGTACAGTACATTTTGTAAAGCTCTTTTCCTTTTGTCTACTGTCCCTTCCCACTAAAATGTAAATTCCCTAAGAGAAAGGTCTTTTGTCCTGTGATAATCACCTAACTGTTGTTTATCAGCCCTGCTAGACTTCATGAGATCTAGATCATTTTGCTTTCTCCCTTCGATAATCAATACATACTGATTAAACCAATGAGCACAAGAAATGCACAGCTAAAGAAGATAACTTGCATATTCTTTTATAACTAATAAGGTACATTTAACAAAAATGTAGTTTAAAATGTAAATTGGATATTTTTAAAGTGTTTTCCATTTTTTTTTAGGACAAATCAGATTACAAAATTAAGGAGAAATAAAAACCCTCTACATAATTTTTAAAGATAAAGTTGCTAACTATTTTTTTTTAAAAAAAGAAACCCAAAACACTGTTTCTCGGACTGAACAGTTAGTAATTTATACTTAAAAATACATCTTTTCATCCCTATGATATGAAAGTAGACTGTTACACTGTGGCTAGCAAGGTACAAAAAAAAAAAGCTAACAAGATATCATGAATCAAGTAACAAAGCTCAATATTAACTTTCTCTTTTAAACACAGTTGAACATGAATATTTTAGGGACTAGAAATTACCATGTGCTAAAGGCACTGCAGTGGCT